AACTATAGCATTATAAAATGTGAGGATACTGGGAAAATGTATATTGGGGATGTAATAGACATAATTACCAAATTAAGGGTCATTGAAGAAACGATTAGATCAGGAAAAATAAAACGTAATTATTTGAACTGTTGCTCCCTCAATATTATGTGACGTTAGGAGAAAATAATGCAGTTATGCTTTGTTGAGTCTTTTCCGAGTTAGTGCATCTGGACACTTCTACTCTATGATGGCTGGGGAGTTTCTGCAGAATCCCACCCATCTCACTGACTAATTTCTTAAGTTCTTAAACAAAATAGGTGCTATTAGTGATTCTAATTATTTTTAATTAACTATAAGAGTAAACGAATGTTAATTTTTGTTTCCTAGTTTTGATCTAATAAAATGAAACTTTGGTTGACAATTGGATGAAATTGGCAGTCTATGCCAAAAAATTCTTATACAAAATATAAGTTTGCGTTGAAAACATTTTATAAAAAAATATAAAATAAATAAATTATCTATATAAATAATAAATAAAAGACCTACCAGAGACTTATCCTTTATGTAAATAAATATATATGCAAAGTTTAGTGCATCGTATTTTTAACAGAGTTCGGTGTGTAGGGTATTAAATTTTCTGCAAATCAAACCAAATTTTTTTTAAAATTTGATTTTTAAAGTCAATTATGATAAGAGAAATCATGTTTTTTAATAGAAGCTATTGTCTTAATAGAGAAATGTTTGGTAATTAGCCAAATACCCATCGACAATACTCGAAACAGCTGTATGGTCAGCCAAAAATGTAGTTAAGTAATAAATAATAAAATTTTTGTTGTTATAATTCGTTGTTGTTCAAAACACTTTTTTTTTAAATTTTCTTTTAATTTACTTATATACTTTACTAATATCACTTTGCAGAAAAAAACGGGTAACTATTTTTGTTTATATTCTTTAAACTCATAAATAGTTTACTTTCTTGTGTTTTTAATCTATATAAGCTAAAATTATTTTCATTTTTATTGTTTAATGGTTTTATTAATTTATTAAACATATCAGTACTTTTTGATTTACAATCTTAAAATTCTTACCTTTCTAGCCAAAACCATTGAAGTGGCATGAAATTTGCCCAGCTGTTGTAGCAACAAAAGGCTGTGATGCCAATCCAAACCATCTTGACGTGCTGCCAATTTAAATCCATCCACTTGTAGATCATCAAAAACGATTGTCTGAGTTGGTGACTTAATAGTGTAATAACAACTTTGAACAAAATGCAAAATTATTAAAAAACAATCACTAATTTTAATAAAAAAAATCTCTCACTTTGCACCAAACTTAAAATCTTGTCCTAAAATCTCTAATCTCGGCAAAATATCTGTATAGATTATCTTTTCTTTGATAAATACACCCACATCTTCCAAAAATTGTGTTTCTTTGGTAATCGGTATACTCTTCACTATTAAATTTAATTGCTCCTTTTGATTGTATTCGCCACTCAGTCGTTCGTATAAGACAACAACACGATATATGCACGAACAGTAATTATCGCCCGGATTACTGCCCCATTCAAAATTTATTTCAGTTATATTAATTTTTGCTTCTCGAAGACCCTCTTCTAAGGCTGTAGTGAAAAATTCATTATCCAAATAAGCCGGCACAACTATATTGTAAGGATTTTTAATAATCATTTTTGGTTTGTGTAGGGAACGCTATTGACTTTAGTACTGGCAAATGTATCTGTTAGTTTTAATTGTGGTTATACGTACTACACCTTTCAAGTTCAAAATCCGACTAAAAACTTTTAATACTGTTTAGCACATTTTAGTTATTATCTGAGTGAGTGTACTTATTCTTTTTGTTTATATACTAAGCACTAAAGTGTTGATTATACAAGCTTAAACGATTTTGTTTTAGTAGCCGTGATATGTTTTGCAAATTGTTTGTTTACTAATAAAAATCAGTGGTTCCGAATTGTTGCAAAATTCCCACTTCTGATTCAATGGATTTTGATGTTGTGGTTTATAACTAAATAAGATACCATAATAGTTAAGATGTACTAAGAAAAAATAAATGAACTTAGTCTTGCTCATTATATTATATATTAATTATTATTATAAAATATGTCATGCTGCAAAAGTCGTGTCTGTTGTTTATATACTTGTGCATCCGGAACTTTTTCCAAAATCGTATAAAGTTAAATAAATATATTAATAAAATAAAAAAAATTCTAAAACATTAATTTATATATAATTAAATGAAATTAATGTTATTTTGGAAATTTACAAAATTTGCTTAAAAGCAATTAAATGGTTTTTTTGTTCTGTGTCTCATGGAAGAATGGCTTGGAGAACTTCCGTATATTTAACATTTTTTGTAACTTAAAATTTAAATATTTTTTTAGTTGGAAACCCCAAAAAGTTTGTTTATCTATGCAGAAAAGATTACATAAAAAATTTAAATTAATTTTATTTGATAATGTGACGTGATAAAATGGGTAAACACACTTCAACTTGTTTTTCGCAGACGTTGAACTACTAATTTATTTTATCAATGAATTTCTGCTTTTATCAAATCTTTTTTTTATTATACTCGTACCTTCAGTCTACAGCTCTGTTCTTAAAAGTAAAAGTCTTTTTAAGCAATAAAAATATAGAATGATGAAATTTTTGGACTTTAAGTATAATGATGGATACTCTTAGATTACCCTACACTAATTAATGTTATCAGTATTTTAAGAAAAACAGTACTTTGACATGTTGCTAAGATATCTGTCATCTATATAACTGAACAATTTACAACCTCATTAATTCGAAATAATTGAATCTAAACGCTCTGACATTAATTACAACAATAATACTTATAAAAGCCATTAAATTACAACAATATATTTAAACAATGGCCAGAAAAAGAGAAGGAAAGGAGGTGGGTGTTGAAGTGATGGAAACGAAAAAAAAGGTAAAAGAGCATATAGAAGTAAAAGAGCAGAAAGAGGTAAAAGAGCAGAAAGAAGTAAAAGAGTAGAATGAGGTAAAAGAGCAAAAAGAGGTAGGGAGTAATCCGGGGGAAGGAAGACCGGATTAAAGAAATGCTGAAGGAAGCAGAGGAGAAAGAAAGAAGGTGGGCGATAAGCTGGTGCGTAAGAAGAAAGTGGTGGAGCAGCAAAAAAAGTTTTGGAGTAGTCCAGGGAAAGGAAAATCAGGCAAAGGAGGTGATGAGGGAAGAAAAAGAAGAGGGGTGGAAGATTTACTAAGGTAACGCAAGAAGAAGAAGATGGAGAAAAAGAAAAGCAAAGAAGTTATGGTTAGAGACTTAGAAAAGAAAGAGATAGAAGAACAGAAAGTAGGCCAGGGGAAGGAATAACAAGTTAAAGAGATGGTGAAGAAAAGGTGAAGAAGGGGTGAATTAGAGATAGTGGAAAAAGGTAGTAAAGAAAAAGAAGTTCATACAGAAAAAAAAAATGGGGAAAGGAAAAGTAAAGAAGTTGTGCTGGGTGAGTGAGAAAATAAAAAGGTAGTAGAGCATAGCAGAAGAAGTGGTAAAGAAGGGCTGAAGTGGGAATGCAGAGTTCGTGGTAAAAGAAGTGAAGAAGAAGAAGTTCATAGAAGAATTGGTAGCAGAATAAAATAAGAAAGAGGCAGAACTGGTCTATGGGAGCTAAGAACTGGTAATAACGGTAGTGTTGGGATAAGAGAGAACGGTGGAAAAGTAATTAGATGTAGTAAAGAAGAAGGAGGTTGAGAAATAGAACAATGGGGAAATGATGGTGAAGGAGTAAGATTAGAGATTGATTAGAGGAAAGAGGAACAGCTCCAGGAGAAGGAGAAAATGCTCAGGTGAGTAGAGGAAGAAAGATAATGAAATGCAGCAAACTATATATAAGCAATGAGAAACAGAACCATAAATATTTAGTTATAAAAGAGAAAACGCTCAGGTATAAAGAAGGTGAGTAGAGGAAGAAAGATAATGAAATGCAGCAAACTATATATAAGCAATGAGAAGCAGAACCTTAAATATTTCGTTATAAAGCTAAAAGACCAGATAAGACAGTTTTTCTAATAAGAGAAGAAAGGAAATCTAAATTTTAACTGGATTTATCACCTGATATTACGTTATATATAAATATGTTTCCAACATGACCACTTAACTCAATTTATTCCATTTTGGTAATTCAATAGAGACATTATTTAGAAGTGCTTCTTATTTTTTGGTTTTTGGACTCAGTACTTTTTGATAGTTCGTTGAATTTCGATGAACGGACTCTTTAACTTATTTGATTTTAACGGAATAGATGGAATGGTAGTAATTATTTCCTTAGGTTTCTTGCAAGGAATGTGGTAGTAAAATGGTCAATAATCGTCATTTATGGGTAGTGGATGTATATCTGATGATCTTCCACGGTAACCAACTAACCAACCAACCATATACTAGAATAGCGAAGTTAAGGTTAATAAAACAACTCGGTGTTGATCAATTTTTAGTTACATGCTCATGTACCTCATCATTTAAGTACAGATTACGGAATACACTATATTAGCTGTTTATTGCTTTTATACAGTGGAATTCTCAAAATTGCAATTAAAATTACACTGCATAATAAAATTTTTAAGTTATAAGCTTATATGAAATATAATAACGTTTATATACAATGATTAATGGAAATATTTTCCATATTCTAATACGTAATAATACGTAATTTTATTGAGATGCATTCCGTAGATTACAACGTAGCGTATTTACAACTGAAATTAGGCCGGCACCGCGTTTGTATCTGCGGAAGAGTCGCAATTTAACTCATTACTGTCGCGACACGTCTCCATTTGTAGAATTGTAGGCTTGTGTACTTAAGTGACTGTTCTTTTGAATAAAATATGTCAAGTCATTTTGTGGCCGGTAAACACATGAGTTCACATCAATTGAGATAGTTTTTTATTGTTTGCTCTGAAATCGTTTGATTACAGGCTTTTTACCCACATATTCACATATGAGTTTATTCGCATCATGAGCAAATTTTTAATTTGCAAGTTCATTGCTAATTACATTTTTATTTCTCATGAACAGTAAAATAAATAATACTATCTGTATTTATTTTAATTACATATTTAGTTAATTAAGTAAACACTCGAGACATGCCCACTTCATACTGCATTAGTGATAAGATAAGTAGACTTACGATGTGATTTAAAAGCGATATTGAAAGGTTCTTGTGTGCACTGAATTTAGTGTTAAATGTGCGGTTTTTAACATTTATTTTTTTATTTATATTTATTTATTTTCAAATTACATAATATATTAAAACGACATATTTAAAAATTTTTAATTACTTTTAAATAATTTAATGAGTGTTTTTGTATTCTTTTTATTTGTATTTTATGAAGTAATGAGTACTGCTCTATACACTTTGCGTCACTGAAAACAAAAAACTTGGCTCTATAAAAAAAATATATTTATAATCAAGTGCTATTATATAAATATATCTATAAATGTGCAACTATAAACTTGCTGGTTTGAGTCGCAAATAAATTAATCATTATCAAAAACCACAGTGGGACACTTTAACCCACTAAAACCATATTTTTTAAATGAGCTATGAAAATTTCAGGTCATGGTCCTGAGAGTCTCATTTCAGTAATAACGGGAGAGGTAGATGCTGAATAGACTTAGTACTTAAAAAATTGAATTCAACTGTGTCAGAAAACATGAACAATATTTAACAAAGTACTTAGGCGAACGAAGGATGTTGGGCCAAATAATATATTATACTCAGGTCAATCTATATACGAGCGCGGTTTGATAAGTCAGCGACTTTTTGAATGAAACAAATTTTTTTCGGCAAATAAACATTTTATTTTTCTACATAATCACCTTTTAGCTGGATACATTTAGTCCAGAGTTTTTCTAATTTTCTTATTCTCTCCTAATAATAGTTTTTCTCAAAGCTTTCAAAATACGCGCTTGTTTCGGTAATGACTTCTTCATTGGATTTAAATCTTTTACCGCCCAGCCATTTCTCTAGGTTTGGAAACAGAAAATAGTCGAAGGGGGCTAAATCTAGAGAATATGCTGGATGGGGTAGCAGTTCATATCCCAATTCGTGGATTTTGGCCAGTAATGCTTAATCAGCACAAGAAATTCACTTTTTCCCATTTTCGTAAAAATTCAAGAGGTTGTCTGCTTTGAACGGCTATCAAACATCAACTGAACGACGTAGCTTGCCAAAATTAGAAAGTTGCCCACTGGTAGATTACAGCTGACAGCAGCACTGTTGCATTTGAAGTAACTGCGCGGGAAATCAAAAAGTCACTAATTTATCAAACTGCCCTTGTATTAAATCTCATGGCAAAATATTCTTATTTGACGTATAATGTTAATTCAATTAAACTACATTTTGGTTTTCTTGTTATCTTTCCCACATAAGCTAAAATTTTTCTAACCAGGTTGATCAGGTTAACTTAACTAGTCTTTTTCTGAGTGTATTTATAGCTTATTATTTATGGATTTACTCTTAATCTGTCAAATTTTGTTGCTCAATCAGACATTCTTAGAGTACTCTAGCATTCTAGTTATCTAAAATGTTATTCTAGATATTTATTATTATTGACTCGTTCAAAAATACAAATTCAAGGACTTAGTCTAATCACAAAATATTTCTAATTATTTCTATCTATAAAAGCTATAGGCTTTTAGTTCACTGAAAGATTTCCATGACTCTCTGTTACTTGTCCTTCTCTATCCATGTACAATTTGGTCGACCGCGATTTATTTTTCCTTATCGAATCAAATCACACTTTATCTTTCAAAGCATATAAAACAGCTGTTAATTTTAGAGTAACCTTGTTAATC